CTCATGTTGTTCAGGTAGCGATTTTGGTCTCCACGCTTGTAATCAGCCTTCAGGGCTCTATCGACTTACATAGGTTTCTGTCCTGAAGTTTATGGGAACATGAAAACCTTCCTTCGTTAGCTCCCAAGAGGGCCATGTCAGAATCATTGATGCCCTGCGAATTTCCCCCAAAATTTGCCCAAATCAGCTCATTCCCCGAGCTAGCACAAAACGCTGTCCGAACCCCTTAGCATCAGAAAACTTGTTTAATTTCGCTGAGCTGCTCCTTAAACGCTTTTTCCGCCGCTACACTTCAAACCACCGAACTCATTTACTTCTAGCATGTTGTCACCGCTGAGACACTGTGACATGTATGTGGTGTTAAGTGACGTCATTCCTCACCCATTAGGATTTATTATTCAAACGGGCTTCAACGTCGTCGACACACGCTGTCATGCCTCATTGACACCTAGGCGAGACCCGTTTCATTTCATGCATTGCTTGGTTGAAATGCGTGAAATTCTGGTTCTACTTGGAATACTACTAAAAACTCATCGGACCGTGTTTGAGCTGACATGGTGACTAATTTTACAGTGGCAGTATTTCCGAATATTGCAATATGTTTTCCCCGCTATGGCACGGTATACATTCCTTTCCAGTACTGCCCCTTCCCCTCCTTGAAGACCAAGTATAAAATCTTTGGACTACTCCATACTTTGCGGCAGCGTCCACCAGCGACCAATAGCGACCACGAGCGCTCCCAGCGTCTTGCAGCGTCAGCTACTAGGGAAATTATAGATATCGATCTCCATTCCCATTCTTGCTGTTCTCATTCATATGCGCGGGACATCGTTTGATGAATATAATGAGAATAGCAGGGGCAGTGAAGCATTCGGTGCTTTAGTAGTTGTATTGTGCGGTTGCACACGCCGCGATTTCGCAACGCCTAAATGCAGCTGTCTGCTACCCTCCTACTTCCCCATACTCTCTACTCCCGGTCGCTGGTGAACGCAGGCAGACGCTGTTAGACGCCAGATCGACCTATACTTCCTTAGCCCTTGAGACGCTTGCGCACTTCAAAAAATGCTGGTGAGCGCTGACAGGCGCTGGATCAATATCTATAATTTTCTAGTTGCTGACGCTGGCACGCTCGGAACGGTGGTGGACGCTGCCGCAAAGTATGAACGCAGCCTCAGAGCTGATCAATGATTTTTTCGAGAATCAGGGGACTTTCGCTCCACGACCGGCAGGGGATGAGAGATACGAAGAATCTCCTCAATCACTTTCCTTATGAACTACTGAATAAAAATAATTCACTAACCGCTCCAAGGTAGTACCATTTCAGGCCTGGAAAATCGTCGAACACCCACAGGTGGACGAGCATATGGTACTCCTAAAAACGCCGAGACCCGTTCGCCTTGAAAGTTCTGAAAAAAGTACTGAATCAGCAGACGGAGTTTGAAAATGATTCCACCTTCAAAATGTCATCCAATTAAGGCCCTAGCAACCATTCAATTCCTGATCTTGTTCGAAGGATTAATTTATGGATTCGACTCCTGGCAGTTCCTCATTTGTGGAAGCCTAAGGTTATGAGATTCCAGCTCTTTTCTTCCCACTAAATCATCAGTAAAGGTCACAAGAAGACTACCTGACCATGGATCCGCATATGATTTACGCAACTACACTCTTTGCTAGCTCTTGAAAAGGTTTTCCGGGCAATCCCAAGGAGAGGTTTCGGATTTTTTCTTCAGGCTCCTCCCTCTCGGATTGATCAGGGAAACCTTCCAGCCAATAACAGTCCCTTCAGCTATTGTGCTATGTTGGGGCAGGACTGTGTTGGTTATTGTCAAAAGGCGTGTTAAGTGATCAGTTGAATGGAATATTGATAGCCCCTCATATCACCTTTTGTGCAAACTCAAAAGAGGTGGCACTTACATAACTGTGGTAAGTGCAGTGGGGCGGGAACAGAGACGCTGCAAGGTATCCAGTCACGAAATCTAGCTGCGTCGGCATGACAAAAGGGGAGCTGCAAGTTTCGTCGCGAGCGCGGAATTCGCACCAGGACCTAATTAATTCAAGATCAAAGTGCTCCGGTTAAAACAATAACTGAGAAAAGGCCGCGGCGACGAGCAACAGTATGTGAATCACATTATGTGGTCGGTACCCGATCATGAGTGGAAGAAAATCGCCTTTGTTACCATGTACAGTCCTCATCATTGCGGACCGGTGGGGCGTGGCAGTGCGGCTGCGTTTGGTGCGGTTTGGCAAAGTCGTTCTGCACCAGTTTTTGAAGCGGGCAAGTGCATTACTGTATTATATCCTTCGTATTACTCGTTTTCTACCACTTTTTGTCTC